GTACATAAAATGCACCCAAAAAGTGAAATCCTAACTGCTAGCAAAGCCACTTATGTAGAGGCTAGTAAATACAGACATTATATTCCGCTTCTTAGCAGTGACATTAGTTATCTGGCTGCCTTCTGTATTAACCAGCTAGCAGGAAAAATAAATCAAACTGCCTGCCCTCAAGTATCCACCCTAAAAGCCTTGTTGTTTTTCAAATGTTTCTGCTATCTTCAAAACACATTATCAGATGTCTTTGAACTGAAAAATCTGGAGAAATGATTACATTTTTTATTTTGGCCTTTAAACAAACAAACAAAGAATTTTAAAGGAGGAGAATTTTTTATCTGATTTCTGGTTAATGTCTAGAGCGTTACGAGAAATAGTTGCTATGCCTCCACCTTGACTTTTTAAATGAGGGCTGTGAACATATGTGTAGCCTGGGGGGGTAGAGGACTTCAGATCTAATCCAGGTTTCTGTGATGCCAATATCCTGATCATTTAATAATTTTGTTTACAATAATCTCTGTAGATGTGAGGGCTCTTATGTGAAGCTGTTTTAGTATCAGATCAAAGGGACTGTCATTGCAAATTGATTGAACTAATTCAGTATTGACTATATTACTAGAATTAAACTTTCGAATTCTTTGTTTTCCCCTGGCCCAAAAGATGAGGCTTGTTCTCAAAGCAGACCAATTGTTAGTAGAGCCCATGTCGTTTTTTGAGCACCACTTCAACAGCTAGCAGTTCAGTGATTAATACCTGCTGTGGGCTTCTTCGTTGCACTGCATTGAAATGGGGACAGAACATATTACTGCCTAAATCGTCATCTGGAGCTAATTTTCATCCTTCTTTAATATTAACCTTGTTGACTGCAGACAAATATTATAAGTACATTGCACTAAACATGTTGCGTGGAGAAGCCTTATTAATTTGGTTTTTGACCGTGTCACATAGACACTACCCATTCACCCTGCCAGAGTGCTGTTTGTCTCTGAGGAGCAAGGAGATTTTACCAGAGAATCTGACCCCTACTTACAAACTTCTGTCTAATGCTCGGATGTGTGCATCTCTAATTGTGTAATCGTCACCATCAAGCAAAGAATAAAATACAGTTCTCAAAAAGTGTTACCACTGTCACTAATGAAGGAGAAGGATGAACAACTACACAACTGAACAGCTTGCGGTCTGCCATACTGAAATAAAAGTATGTACTGAGAGTGCGATTAAATAAAATATACTTTCAAATCTGTAATTTATTTAAAAATAGTATGCTGGTGAGTATCGTATTGTTATAATGTATAAGTTGGCAATACCCAACCCTAATGGTGATACTTAATTTGGCCAGTATTGTCGGGGGTGAGTTCCATGTGCATCAAAAGTGCAGACGGTTCAGCTTCGCTGCTAGTCATGACCTACATTAAAAGGGCAAACCAACTTCCTGTTATAAAAAAGCTGGCTTATTGGATGTTATTTTCATGTCTCCCTAAATTGCCTTTGGACAAAACTTGCTACAAACTGAGAAACACTGGAGATATATATAGATAAATATGGGTTTCTCTGACCCAAATAATTTTAAGCCAAATATCATGCCTGTACAATCCCATTTCGAGAATATGTTGTAAATAAAAACAAAATGCAATGATGTGCAGATCATTTAAATGCTATATTTCATTGAAAATGGTACAAAGACAACATATCAAATGTTGAAACCAGGGAATTTTATTGTTAATTGAAAAATATTTGCCCATTTTGAATTATATGCCAACAACACATTTCAAAAAAGTTGGGACAGGGACAACAAAAGGCTAGTAAAGTTGTGTAATTCTAAAAAAAAACACCTGGTGGTTGATTGGCAACAGGTCAGTAACATGATTGGGTATAAAAAGAGCATCTCAGAGAGGCTGTGTCTTTCAGAAGATGAGGGGTTCACCACTCTGAAAGACTGCATGAGCAAATAGTGCAACAATTTAGGAATAACAGTGCGCACAACATATAATAGCAAGGAAGTTTTGCTTTTCACCATCTACAGCACATAATATCATTAAAAGATTCAGAGAATTGGGAGAAATCTCTGTATGAAGGGACAAGGCCAAAAACCAGTATTTGCTGGCCGTGATATTTGGGCCCTCATGCGGCACTGCATTAAAAACAGACATGATTCTGTAGAGGAAATCACTGCATGGGGTCAGGAACACTTCTGAAAAACACTGCCTATGCAAACAGTTCATCACTGCATCCACAAATTACAATTAAAATGGACGGAGATGAAGTGGAAAAGTGTCCTGTGGTCTGATCAACATTTGAAATTTTTTTTGGAAATCATGGACACTGTGTCCTCTGGGCTAAAGACCACTTAGCTTGTAATCAGTGCACAGTTCAAAAGCCAGTATTCATGATGGTATAGGGGTGCATTAGTGAACATGGCATGGGTGATGTGCACATCTGTGAAGGCACCATTAATGCCGAATGATATATACAGCTTTTGCCAACATATGCTGCCATTCAGATGATGTCTTTTTCAGTGAAGGCCTTGCTTATTTCAGCGAGACAATGTAAAACCACATTCTGCATGTATTACAACAGCATGGCTCCGTATTAAAAGAGTCTGGGTGCTAAACTGGCCTGCCTGCAGTCTGGACTTGTCACCACTGAACACATTTGGAAGGTTATGAAATGAAAAATATGACAAAAGAGACCCCGAACTGTTGAGCAGCTGAAATCTTATATCAAACAAGAATGGGGAAAAAAAAATCACTTTTAAAACTACAGCAATTGGTCTTCTCCCAAAAGCTTACAGAGTGTTGGTAAAAGGAGAGGTGATGAAACACAGTGGTAAACACGCCCCTGTCCCAACTTTTTTGGAACATGTTGTTGGTATCAAATTCAAAATGGGCATATATTTTTCAATAAACAATAAAATTTCTCTGTTTCAACGTTTGATATGTTGTCTTTGTAGTATTTTCCTTTAAAATGTGGTTTACATGAATTGCGTATCATTGCATTCTATTTTTATTTACATTCTGCACAGCATCCCAACTTTTTTGGAAATGGGGTTGTATAAGTAACTGTGTTTTCCTGAAGATTCCAGTCTGACATGAACAGGTCAACAGAACTGAACAAGTGAACAGAATTTCAGCCCAGACTGTTTTTTGAATGAGATACAACACAGAGCAGCCAATCAGAACAAAGGTAATTTTACATTAAGCCGTCAGAAGCCAGCAGAATGGAAATAAACTCTTTTTAGAACTTTTAAATTAATATAATCAAATAAAGTTTTCGGTTATCATATTTCCTAGGACCCTGTTGGTTTTGTGTGTGAAATGTTGTGACAATGTTGCACTGTTAGCAAACGGTGAGGAGTGAATAGAGAGGGGTAAGAACCAGTTAATGTGAAATCAATTCAAACCTCTCCAAAAAGATGGCCATGTCAAAATAAACGGACAGCACAACTTTCTTGATACAATTCTGTACAATTTCTGCAATAAAAAACAGGTGCAAATGGAAAAGGGTTAAAGGCATAGTAATAAAGCACAATGGGCCTTATTCACCAATATCTTACTAAGTTTTTTCCTAAATTTGTTCTTGAGAAAGGTCCTAAAAAAGTCCACGTCAGATTTATGACTTGTTCTTAAACTGCAGAATTATTTGTACCTTTGTGCACTTGAGTGTGCACAGATTCTGTTCTTAACTAAGAACAAAACAAATCCCAAATAATAAAACACTGGTGAATGTCATAATCTTCGTAAAAATGTGCAAGTGGGTCTGTGGGAATTTTCTTTGGTTGGTGAATGAGGCCCAGTGTTTAGTTCTAATGGATGAAGAAGGTGTTGGTCGGAAAATGATTATCTAATAATGAAGTACTGTTTTGAAACCTAAAACCACACAATCTTCCTAGGTGAACTTCAGGTGAAAAAAAAAAGTGCAAGGATATTCACTATGGCCCATTCAAATGATCTGGTTCACTGAGAAATCCTGCTTTGTGCGATATGGCTAAAGGTGTGTGGACACCTGACCACCACACCTATGTACTTACTGGACATTCCAAAACTATAGGCCTGAATATGGAGTTGGTCCCCCCTTTGTGGCTATAACAGACTCCACTCTTTTGGGAAGACTGTAAGGTGTGTGTTCGTGTGTGGGGGGGGGGGATTTGTGCCTATTCAGTCAAAAGAATATTTGTGAGGTCAGGCACAGATGCCTGGCCTGGCTTGCAACTGATGTTCCAGTTCATCCCACAGGTATTCAGTGGGATTGAGGTCAGAGTTCCTCCACACCAAACTTGTCAAACCATGGACTTGCTTTGTGCACAGAGGCACAGTCATGCTGGAACAGGAAGGGGCCTTCCCAAACTGTTGCCACAAAATTGGAAGTATAAGGATGCAATGTCTTTATATGCTATAGCATTAACATTACTCTTCACTGGAGCTAAGGCGCTTAACCCAAACCCTGAAAAACCTGACCATTATCCTTCCTTCAGCAAACTTTACTGTTGGGAATATGCATTCCAGTAAGTAGTGTTCTCCTGGCATCAGCCAAACCCAGATTCATCCATCAGACTGTCAGATGCATGATTACTCCAGAGAACACATTTCAGCTGTTTCAGAGTACAGTGCCGACATGCTTTACACCACTTCAGGCGACATTTGGCATTGCGCATAGTGATCTTAAATCTAGCAGGGCAGAAATAACATGAAATCACTTGTGGCAAAAAGAGTATGGCAGTGCCAGGTTTGAAGTCACTACGCTCATTAGTACTGTCCATTCTACTGACTGTGTTTGTCAATGGAGATTGCATGGCTGTGTACTTGATTTTATACACCTCTTAGCAATGGGTGTAGTTGAAACACCGGAACTCATTAATTAGGAGGGGTGTCCATATACTTTTGTGTACCTTTTTTTTAGTCCCTCCATAGCTTCACCTGTGTCTGTCTCACAGTGTAATGTTATTGTAATGAGTCTAATCTCTCTCTCTCTCTCTCTCTCTCTCTCTCTCTCTATCTATCTTGTCCCAGGCCTTTGCTGTTGGAGGGCTAGGCTCCATTGTTCGAGTTATGACATCTAGAAAGACTGTATGACAGCCTGGCAAATCCTGAAAGCAACTGAGGACAGCTGGCTTTTTTACTGAAGGGAAGAACTTGTCAGCGATTGTTTCTTGGCTGGAGAAGAAACCTGTGAACTATTTAAGAGATAAATGAAGGTGGATGTGCTAAAACAAGCAGAGCTTTTCTTTTTCATGTGTGGAAAAAGTAATGTGAATTACTGTGGTTTGGGAGAGCCTATTTACATAAAAAGCTACAATAAATTATTTGAGATCAAAGAAGACTTTCTGCAGAGTCAATCGCTACAGACCTCCAAACTTCATGTGGCCTTCAGATTATCTCAGATTAAGAAAGAAATGGGTATAAAACAGTGTGCAGATGGATCAAAAAATGAAACCGCTCTGTTAAGAACAGTTCTGTTCCTGGATGGATCACTACTACAGGGAGATATATATATATATACTCCATTAGTAGGTGAATGTGCGAAAGAAAGTGTAGGATGGTCAATGGAGTGCAATCTGTGTATGTTTGGGTGCGCTGCATGAAAGTGTGAAATTCGGATTTATTCCTTATATCTCACTTGCTTCTTGATCCTCTCACTCTTTGTACAGAGAGAGCTCTTAGTTATTATGAGTGACCTCCAGTTTAAAAAGAGAGGATGCACACCAAAGGAGGAAGAGGAAGATTACTGTGAAGTGCCTGCTGCAATAAAGATATTGGATCTCTCATGTGGTCAGAATAATCATTCGCTCCTTTTTTCTTTCATATTCTTATATATTTTATATATTTATTTGTGTGTTTTAGATCTATGTGTGTGTCTACACTGTATGTCCAAAAGCATCCAATTTCCTTTTTCTAATGAATTACATTCAGGTGCATTTATTGCTTATACTGGTGTTAAAACGTGTTCAGCATTGGGCTGTGGAGTAGTGGAAGTGCATTCTTTGATATGATAACGCGCCATCAAACATCTTTGGGATGATCTGGAGTGGCATTTATGAATGTGTATATATATATATATATATATATATATATATATATATATATATCACACTATATTGCCAAAAGTATTCACTCACCCATCCAAATCAATAAATTCAGGTGTTCCAATCACTTCCATGGCCACAGGTGTATAAAACCAAGCACCTAGGTATGCAGACTGCTGCTACAAACATTTGTGAAAGAATGGAGCTCAATGAATTCCAGCGTGGTACCGTGATAGGATGCCAGTGCAACAAGTCCAGTTGTGAAATTTCCTCGCTACTAAATATTCCACAGTCAACTGTCAGTGGTATTATAACAAAGTGGAAGTGATTGGGAACGACAGCAACTCAGCCACAAAGTGGTAGGACACGTATAATTACAGAGCGGGGTCAGCGGATGCTGAGGCGCATAGTGCGCAGAGGTCGCCAACTTTCTGCAGAGTCAATCGCTACAGACCTCCAAACTTCATGTGGCCTTCAGATTATCTCAAGAACAGTGCCTAGAGAGCTTCATGGAATGGGTTTCCATGGCCGAGCAGCTGCATAGTAGCCTTGCAATGCAAAGCGTCGAATGAAGTGGTGTAAAGCACGCCGCCACTGGACTCTAGAGCAGTGGAGACGTGTTCTCTGGAGTGACGAATCTCGCTTCTCTGTCTGGCAATCCGATGGACGAGTCTGGGTTTGGCGGTTGCCAGGAGAACGGTACTTGTCTGACTGCATTGTGCCAAGTGTAAAGTTTGGTGGAGGGGGGGATTATGGTGTGGGGTTGTTTTTCAGGAGTTGGGCTCGGCCCCTTAGTTCCAGTGAAAGAAACTCTTAACAGACCAAGAGATTTTGGACAGTTTCATGCTCCCAACTTTGTGGGAACAGTTTGGGAATGGCCCCTTCCTGTTCCAACATGACTGTGCACCAGTACACAAAGCAAGGTCCATTAAGACATGGATGAGCAAGTTTGGTGTGAAAGAACTTGACTGGCGTACACACCTGACCTCACCCCGATAGAACACCTTTGGGATGAATTAGAGCGGATGAATTAGAGCTCGGCTTATTTTATTTTTCGGAAGACAAGAGAACCGTTTAGAGCTCAACAAGCGAAGCGTCACCAGCATCAATGCGCCCTCGCTCAGCACTTCAACACCGCTCTTACTGGAGAATCTCACCAGGCAAACTGACCTCATGATAGCAAAACAAAAGAAACACAGCTCTATCTATTTGACTGATTATAATAGCTTCTGCAGGTAAAACAATTGCAACATTCACCACGAAGCTGACTTGTTATTCGCCAGCTTCGTATTGGAATTTTCCGTTCTACCTTAAATGGTGCAGCAGTGAAGCGCCGGAACACAACTTCTATTCAAACGCCGGTGTTTTTAGTTGACTGAGATCGTTTTAGTGTTAAGCTACTTTTTTCTTTTAATCCTGTTCGATCAGTGTTCCCAGAAATCATCAAAAATTATCTTCAAATATACAGTTTGTAAAATTAAGTTCAATAGGACTTTTAAATTCTTTTCATGTGTAGTGCACTACTTGTTGTGTATACCAATATGTCTGTCACGCACTCTTAAAAAGGATGGTTCTTCAAAGGTACTTTGGTAAAGAAAATAGTTCTAAAAACAACCATGAACACTCAAAGAACACTTTGCATTATTAAAGGGTTTACAGCCCCATGAAATGGTTCTTTATATCGATGGAGAATGTTCTGTAGATGGTTCTGTATAGAACATTTTTTGAAAAGGGTTCTCCTATTGTTACAAGCTTGACATTGTAACAGTAGAAGAACCCTTTAGGTGCTGTATTGAACCCTTTTCAAAAAGCATATACAGCACATTCTTAAGAACCTTTTCATGAGTCATGTCATGAAATATATATATATATATATATATATATATATATATATATATATATATATGTGTGTGTGTGTGTGTGTTCAATTGCCATTTTATTATTCAATAAAAATTCTGGTTATATTTGCGTTACACCAACCGACTAAAACCGTTACCCCACTCTACTTTAGTCTTCATTGCTGTGTTGATTGTTACTTTGTCAACACTCTAAACTTATATTGCACACTAAGCACATTTAACACTTTGAACTTTGTTTTATGTTTTACTATAATGTCCAGATGTTTAGAAACACAACGTTAATGGGAAGAGGTCTGAAAATGCACATTGGTACCATTATTTACTGCTGTGCTGGCACCAATATTTGCTAACATTAATTTGTTAACATTTATAAAATAAGCACAGTAACAACTGTGACAGCCTGCAAGCTGTCGACCACCTGACATTTTAGGGTGAAATTAATGAGAACAACAGCCAAAGATGGCACAAAAAGAAATGGATAGTAGGATAATAGTAAATACGTAAGAATAGCAAAAGTCAAGAGTCAAATTCCATTATCATACGGCATCATGAGATTATGTAAGTTTAAAAGATATGCCATACGTAAGAATTTTTACAATGACCATTGCAATGAATAGCAACAAACCTTGTGACATTTACATTTGAAATCTAATCATGGACAACTTTTTGGACATTTGACTTTGACTAACATCTTTTTCAAATTAAATCAATTGTACAAATTAATATATTCTTATTTATATTATACTTAATTTTTAAACTTTTTTTTTTTTTAAACTTTTTGATGTTTGTTAAAGATTTCATGATCTTCACACACACCCATGAGAGTGTATTTGGGGGATCTGTTTAATGGTATAACTTTCTTAGTAGTTGTAGTTTTCTTATTACATGACAACAATATGACTGTCTGCATGTTGAAAACACCATGCTGACTTTTGAGGAAAATGACTTTGCAGACAAAAGTTTTTTCAAAGAGCAAAAATGACTTTCCAACTTTTATTCTTGTTAATGAATACTATTATACAATTATGCCAAACTAGTTAATAAAGATTTCTCAAAAGAATGTGAAAAGAATCAGACACACACACCTTGTATCTCCAAAATGATATTTTTACTTTTTTTTTCCCTTTTCCATTTTTTTTCCCCCGCACAAACATCTCCTGAAAAATTAAGAACTTTTACTTATTGGGCAATTTGTTCGGAATTTAAATAATTGAGGGGTGGTCTACACATTTGTTAAAATGTGTAGATTTGTGTACATTGCATAACAAAAAAACAATCACACATCACAAATTAAATAAAACAAAATGTATTTATTTTTTTAAAATAGCATTCTGTAAAACAAAAAAGCTTGCATTTTTGACATCACATTTTCGTTGTTCTTTTTTCCTTTTGGAACATAACATCAAGTATAATTTGGCAACAGACAAAAACAAGGCAGAGGAGAACTGCAGTTCTGGAAGGCCAGATTCCTGCACAATTTGGCAAACTGTCCTGTTCAACACATTTGCTACAACTCATCAGATAATTACCAGACGTGTTCAGAGTGTTAGAGTAGGAAAAACACCAACCTGTGCTTTACTGCAGCCCTCAGTTAACCACCCCTGCCACAAGCGATTACAAAAACACAAGACAATTGGAGAATGCAAGTAATTCAAGTGGAAACTGTAGAACCCCTTAACTTATAAAGAAAGAGTATTCTGACCATTACTTTTAAAATCATTCCTCCCAGTATAGTAGGAACTGCTAAGAAAGAAAGTGGGGGGGGGGGGCGTTCTAAACAAGCCACTGCTCAAATCCGTCATTTACAGAAAAAAAAAAAATGTTAACAGCTCCTTTTCATTCTATTCCCTTAGGTCAATGCCACTGTATATTGACAGCATTAACTATAAAGAGGGCTCCATAGGTAGTTACACTTAGTTAAAAACACATTACAGGAGATTATGACCGAAGTGTCATTGTGTTGGCCAAATCATAATAATAATAATAATAATAATAATGATAAAAATGTTTTGCTTAAACGTAGTCAATGGCCCAGTTCAGCATTCAGGTGTTTTTCCCCATTTAGGACCTGTGCTTCTAGTCCGTATTCAACCCTGATCTTGTTTCCTTAAAGTAATACACCAGTGTTTTTAACCTAATCCTAACCGTATGACACAGATGCATAACCTAGTCATACGGTTGATCATTTCTCTTTAGAGTTTTCCAGTCAGCTGGTTTTTGGTTCTTTTCTAAGTCCAGGGAAACGCATTAAAATTACTTCTGTAATAATCAGCTATGCTGCTTATGCAGCAGATAGAGAATAGTTTAAAAATTGCTGGAATGCTTCTTATTCACTAAGTGCTACAACAAGTTCTATACAATTGTAAGGACATGACTATACAGATGACCATTTCTATGGCATCTTTAGATAATGTTAATGGCTGACAAGCCAACCCTACTGATACTTTGACACAAAAATGAAATGTAAAAATACGACATTTGAAGGTCTACTGATCAGGTAGCGGAAACACCCTCCATCTGTTTCCTTCCAAGTTGCTCTCTAACCTACCTCCATTCAGCGGAAAAAGCTTTTAAAAACAAAAAAAAAACAAAAAAAAAACACATGACCAAAAAGGACAAATTGAGTGTAAAACGCATTAAGAACTCAACAGGTTGATTCGTTAAAAGTGTGTAGTGGAATGTTTAGGTAAACTATGGGGCTGGTTCTATTTGGCAGTGATTAAGAGAGATAGCAAAAAAATGTGCACAATCTAAATGTCTGGATTCCTGCCCCACATACTCTGGTCTAATAAACTTTGGACCTACATTCTGTTACGTGAAGTGTGCAACATCATCACGTCGAATCTGTGAGGTCACTCAGCTGCAAGCGTTTGCACATGAATTGTGCATCACTTACTTTGGAAGACATTTTTCCTTTTTTTGTCAAACATTTTTTATTTTTATGTATTTATCATTAACTCTTTTGCAAAGATTTATAGATAAGTTGCCAGAATGCTTTTGGTCTGTGATGTGAAAATCACAGAATCGGAATAAATCCAAACACATAAAGCACTCAGAAAACAATGAAACAATATTAAAGCAAATACAATGGTGAGGAGGTGTTGTTTTTGAAAATGTTCTGGATTATGGTGCCCCGGCTCAAAGGCTTCTAAATGCTGAATGATCCAAAAGAGAGAAGATACATGGTTATTGGACCTTTGTGCTTCTTTATACTAAGAACATGGTGGTCCCATGTGACTGGCCACAATAAGAACTTGTACCAACACCCTCTACCTGTGTTCAGTTTATAGTATGGAAGAGGATAGGTCAATCTAGAAATCTGCAAAATTTGTAAAATAATAAAAATTGCCAAGTTCATCTCAAATAGTCCCATGTTAAAGAACCAATGTATTCTGGAAAAGCTAATTTAGCTCTGAATGGTGTAAGCCCTAACTTGTGCTGAATGTAGCTCATGGCTACATGAGCTCAAAATTAATGTGCATTTTTTCAGAGAGAAAATTAAAAAGGAATTTGCAACACAAGAGGGTTGTAACAGACAAAGGAATGAGCAGTTTCAGACATGCCTCTTACCAACAGCACAACAAACATCACCAAGTCAAACTTCAATACAGTAAAGTGCAGGGCTATCATCATGGTCATTATAATTATTATTATTACCATCATCATGATCAATTAAGGTAATAAACAACTAAAGTAATAACCATATCACTTTCTTTAAGATTGGTTTATCCTTGTCTATGTGAAAGGAAGATTTTAAAAGAGGAGAATAAAGAGCATTCCCCTGATATGCAGTTTGTTCTTGGAATGTATGCTGGTTGCTGCACTTTGTCAAATACCTCTGGGGGGCACACCTGGACAGCATCCTGGTCCATTTATGAACATTGCACAGACAGTCTCAGTTAACATGCAGAGAGTCATCTTTTCACAGGTCATCTATGGCAAAACAAGTCAGATAGACACACTTCTGTGCATCACATTTTGTTCTTTTTATAATTATACATTTATATATATTTACAATCCATTTTGTATACCTATGTGTAGGAATAACAGCTTGTACATCTCAGCAACATTCTAAAATGTGAGTTTCAGCTATAGGTGTCCACCACACGTATGGAATTAGACATCAGGTTATGACATCAGCTGCGTAGGTATGGGCTAACCACAGTTCTGAGAGACATGCTAAAAATAATCTTGTGAAAAAAATTTCGGTAAAATCCGAGATTCCTTGTCGTTGTCATTTAGAACATAGAAAAACATCATTAATTGGTTAAAACACTAGAATGGTCCAAAAGAGTTGTACCATTTCAAATCTGCTTCAAAAAGGATGAACTCGAGTTCACAGAACACACGACGCAAAACACATGTAAACAGTAAAAAGACAAACTAGAAGACAAACAAAAAGGCAAGACGTGTAGAAGACAACTGAACATTGAAGCAACAATTGCACATGCAGTTCGCTCTTTTTAGACAGGTTATGTAAACGTTGCCGAGGCAAAGGCTTAAATTAGAGAAAGCACAAAAATGCCTTTCTCCCGAAAAAAGGGGTATGTTGCAAATTTCCTCAGAAATCTCTGGAAGAATCTGACTGATTTATCATCAATGTTTCTCATTTCTTCTTCACTGACCTCAGCTGGCAAACATTTTATGTTCTCCAGCGTTCCTTTCTAACTATGATGACTGTCCTTACTCCAGTGCTTATATCTGTATACAATAAATACATATAAATTAATGTGCAATCTTGTATGCTGGAGGCTATTATTTGTGGGAGGGTTTGTAGTTCTCCTCAAATCTCAAAATATAAATGAAAATGACAAACCTGTAAATACCTGACCACAAAGATGGAGACATTTCACTTGTAAAATTGTTAAAAACTATCTAGATCTAAATATATAGGTTAAATTAAACCACCAGAAAGTTCTTTAGGGATGTCCTACCTATGAGATCTGTTTTGTGTATGTGTGTGTGTGTGTGTCTAAACGTGTATCGTAGCATAGTGCTGGCATGCCACCATGTGGTCAATAATTATCTAACATGCCATCACTGAAGAGGTTCTGCACGTCTAGCATGGCAGCCAGCTCCAGTATGCGTTTCTGTAAAAGGTTGTTCTCCACCATCTCCTGTTTGGGCAGCTGAGGGTAAGATTCTGGAAAACTCTGTGCTTCCTGTATCACAGATTAGAGACAAGGAACAGAAATAAAACACTAACCAAGTTAAGCTTTTGTCTGAACAAAAATGTTTACATTATTAAACAGATACACTATTCAGAATATCTTGCATTGTGATTTGGGTCTAGGTAAAAGATCCACGTAAAATATCTAGATTGAGTCTAAGTAAAAGAAATTTTTAAGAAAATTCCAGTTTTATGTTATAAAAGCATGTTTTAGCATTTGTTAACATTACAGCGTGCAGCTAGGGTGATTTTTTTATTCCAAACTACATATGCCCATTCCGTGACCAAATTGCACATATTCAAATAGTAATTCTTACCCGGAAGAGCTTATGGAGTCGGAGAGTAGCACAACAGAACACGAATCGGATCATCAGCAGCCTCAAAAATTCATCCCCATAGAACTGCAGGAAGGCCTGGTCTAGAAGCCAACCACAATATAAAAAACACTTCTATTAAACTGACTGATTGAATGATTGACATTATTTCATTTATTCATCTATCCATCCATCCATTTAACTGTGTAAGGTTTCCAAATCCATTTTAAAAATTAAAAATAAGGAAAAATCCGGTGCTTGTTAACTTCAATCTCTATTTGCCACATCTGTATCATCCTATCAGTTACTATAATCAATCATTTCAAAGTTTTTCCCAGTACTTAGAAAGGAACGCTAACCCAGCTGCCTTAATACTTATAAGAGGGACCACTGAGAAATTGCAGAATTTGTTGCAGAATTGATGGTAACATTAATTCAAAACAACCATTACACTAATAATCCCTGCAAGTGTCTGTGGTTACCGATGGCTCGAGAGCTAGTGAGCATCTGGCCGATGTCGTGGGAAACTTTTCCCAAGAACTCCTGGGCCTTTTCCCACAATCCCTGGTGCATGCTGGTCAGCCCACAGACAGACAAGAAGCCCATGAGGGGGTTGTAGAGGAAGAGAGTGAAGAGACTTCCACGCTGGGACTGGTCTGCAATTAGAGATATGGATAAAACCAAAATACAAGAACAATTAAAAAGACTGCATGTAATATTTCACAGCTCAATTTAAATGAATAATTATTATATAAGCTACATAAATTAATCACAAACAAGTGCTGCTGCATCGGATCTGCAGGAACCTATTGCTCACTGTACTGATCAACTATTTTCAACCACATAACAGATCCTGGCAGACAGAAAAATCTCACTGTTTGTTAACCTTGCATGTAATCAAAGAAAGAAATACCATATGTAGCAGTAATAAAACACTGGGTGGTTAATCAACAGAGAAAAACCTTGCATGCTCTTCGGATAAACGGCAGGAGAAAGCAGGCACACCAGTGGCTGGCCAAATAAATTGGAGAAATTCTACAGAGAAACAAGTAGAAAATACTAATTAACCTCATACAATTGAATACCATTAAAACCATAATAATAAACTGCAGCGTTTGTTTTTGAAAATGGTCACAAGAGGGCACTACATCACTAGGTGATATGTAACTTATTTGGATAAGCTGTCTGTGTGTGCATGTATGTACGTATGAATTGAATTCACCTTGTATGCTGTGCTGTTAGATGAGTCTACAACGATAAAGAGGGGTTTCCTGGTAAAGGGATACAGGTCTCCTGGGTGAAGGCTGACATACACAAACACACACACACCATTAATGACTAAAAGAAATCTTCAAGAGGCATAGTTTATATGCAATATGCCAGTGTGGATTCATACACCAAAACAGTAGTAATCTATTTTCACATGACCATTTTTTATCCTCTTTATCCCATAGGATTAAATAGTCTGCTTTGTTAATGTACTGTTCCGATTAGCTGCCCTGTACTGTACCTCATGCAAGTTGGCACATACTGTTAAGTTTAGACTGAAATCCTCTGGGACAATGGAAAACATAAGCTTCAGTGACTCCCTTCGGATGCCTAGAACCTTTGGAAGGCTGCAAAGATACATTTGCTCACTGACAATCAGGAACAATAAAAGGTTTAATCCTTTTGGCCTCTTCCTGCACAAAAACTTGGCTACAGATTGTCTACCATAACATTTATCATCATATGTAATGGTCATTTGCAAATATTAGTGTCTAAGCGTATTTTTATTTACTGATTTTAAGATTTTATGGAGCTAAAAATGTTGTTAAAGTGGAGTGAATTTCTGAAAACCTTAAAAATGAACAGTTTTCCTCATGTTAGAGGTTTGTTACAATACAAAACAAGCCTCTAAATATCATTTTTTTTATCAGTGGGATTATTGGAAATATCGATAAATGGGCTGGGGAAAACTCTTTCATTGTTTACACATTATGTCTCTTATTTCAAAATTAGTTTTTTCATGTTTGTAATCCAGTTTATAATGCCCAAGGGAACTAGGTTGGTCTTTACCAATGCATCTCTTTCTGTGCCTGGTTTCTCTTCTGCACCGTCTCGCCATTCACCACATCACGATTAGTATTGGTCAGAACTCCTCCGAAGTCATAAGGTCCTGGGGCAAATCACAGCATACATGAAGTTAACCAAGCAAGCAGCACTGCTCGTCCCTCACAGATATGTGACCATTTGATGGAGAACTTTCGTTTCATTACACTTTGGGTCACTCTGCAAATGAAAAAGCATGATACCTAGTCGGCAGGAATTAACAGCTGACAGTTATCTTCTAAACATAAGGAAGAAAGCTTTGGTGGTCACAAGCTAAGTGTGCGTGCGTGTGTGTGTGTGTGTGTGTGTGTGTGTGTGTGCGTGAGCGTAAGAGAGAGAGAGAGAGAGAGAGAGAGAGAGAGAGAGAGAGAGAGAAAGAGAGAGAGGGAATAGTTTATAGTGTATGCATAGATATCCACAGTATCTAAAAAAAACAGATGAAAGCAATGAGCTTTTACAGAATGCACTACAAAAGCTATAAGGAGTATACCTTCATATTCTGAACGTCCAGTGGGAAAGACCCCTGTAGCCGACAGATAGACCAGCAGCACACTATTGGCTGGTAGCTCCTGTTATTTCAACAAAAAAAAAAGGTACTCAGTCAGTGACGGTGGTCACAACACAGAAAAAGACACATAGAGAAACCGCCAAAAACATGAAAGAGCTGGAATAGGCATGTTTTTTTTGTTTTTTTTTTTATAATTTAGGCACATCCAAACTAGTCTAGTCTAGTAATAGTATCAGGGAAAATAATAATTGTATCTTATTTTACGATTTTTAAGTAAGTTCTTTATTGAGTATATGACAAGGAACTGCCAAGAATATTGGGACACTAGCTGATCATGCAGCAGCGGTGATATGATTGAGCCTAGGCCCACTCTTTTTTGTCACTCGCCCACCCAAAATGACTGCTTAAATGTACTTGCAATATTACTTTTACTAGTAAATAAACCAAAAACACAAATAACAATTCATTGCTAAATGTGTGGCATTCTAAATACCATTTTCCTGAGAGGCTGAAAGTAGATATATAAGTTTACATTACATTTTATTATACAGATACTGTTCATTAAGCTACACCATAGCTGTGACTAGTTCCAAGTTTTTTTCTCATTCTGTTTTTCTCCTGTTCTAAAGACAAAGGCTCCACTCATCTGAGTTTGATGCACCCATGCAAACGACAGTTCTCTTTTTCCCCCCGGTATTTAGAGAAATGTCATGATCTGACATATTGACCAAAATATACTTAATTTAGGAATAACTACAGTGGCACCAAAAAGTATTTGGGTATTTGTGCCATACATGAAAGTGTGTTAAATACATCACGTAAACCTAAATTTCAACCAAGTGGCACTTATTTAAAGCACACTATTGCAAGACTGTAATTTTCTTTTTAGTAAAGTATTCTTTCAAAACGTGGCTGGTGTGTTTCGGATCTTTTTTTTTTTTTAATAAATCCTCTGCACACTGCCGCAGGTTTGCATTCAGAATGCATCTGTAAACTTCTGAGTTTATGATCTCATCAACAAACCCAAACTCTCTGACACCACTAAGGAACACAGCCCACGACTTTGAGCTTTCAACCTCTGTGCTTTATAGGACACTAAGTACAGTAAGGTTTGAATTCTTCTTCAAGTTTTCTCCACAGAGCTCAAGGTCAAATGTTAAAAATGTTCAAAAATGGTTTTATAATAATGGTGATATTATTACAATAATTTCAGACTTTACAAAAACTCAAACCAATAACTTTTATAATTTACATGTCTGATCCAAATAAAAGCAGTATTTTATAAGGAAGACTCATGTAACTACTTAAAACAAAAAGATGACAAATTTGTCCAGTTGTTACTGTGTTAAATTACATATGCTTAAAATAAAAAGAGGCATCACTTATTCTGTCTAACCACCATGTACACATTATTTCAAATAATGATTAACTGTTCAATTCACTTCGTTTTGTTGATATTTTGTGAAAACACAATAAAAAAACTATTCTGTTTGAGCTCTGTCTCAGACTTAGAATTTTATTTGTCTTTTAAGTTCTCAAATTGTCAAAACTTTTTCAATGTCTGCTGAGCCAGCCATCTTATAAACAAGCCCCCAAAATAACTATGTCTATAACTTAAGAAACATCAGAGAGAAAGCCCAGTAATTTGAACATAGTTGCAAAAGTTTGAACATAGTTACAAAGCCTGCATGCTGCATTGATATTGTTACACCCATATTGAATAATATAAAAAAAATTCCGCACTGGGACACTCAAATAATATTTGTTGAAAAAGTGCTTAAATATAAAAATAATAAGTAAAAATGGGGGATTCCAGAAGATTAGAGGTATACCACTTCATGGAGCATGCCTAAACATACAGCTTAGAAGTCTGATGTAGTAAGACCAAGACCTGGAACAGAGGAGCTGCTATAGAAAATATAGGTTTTTTTTTTTTGCCTATGAACATAGCAAAAGACCAATATATGTCTACCATTACACTTTGAACAGCTCTAGTAGGACAGAGCCCACCATATGTTAAATAACATCATCTATGTTTCACCCCTCCAAGGTCTGGTAGAAGGCAGTACACTAACCTCCACAATCCAAACATCTTTACTAAGTAGTTGAAGTAAAATGCAAAGCTAAGCCATCTATGCCACCTGTACTGCTATGCAGCTTACAGATAAATAACACAACACAAAATAAATTTATAATATTGTTCTGATGACAATAACACAAAATGTTTAGCAAAATGGGCCTAATTTACATTGAACAATCCAGTTATGTACCAAGCACATCGAAGTAGACAAAGCAAGTCTTTGCAGTAACATCAAGTCTAATTAGTTACATCTAGCACAAAGCAGTAATGACAGGGGGCGAAAAGCTCTATGTAGATTATTTTTCCTACTACTCTCTGCTTTTCCCACTTGTGGGGAGGTGCTATTCTCCAAGAGAGAGGAACTAGTAACATAGTAACACCTCTCTAGCGTGCCATGCTGGTCCGTACACACGCCAATGCAAATGAGCCAGCAGTCAGAGCAACCAGCCCAAAATTAGAACACTATTACATGCTACGGTAGTGTCACCAGATAGCTCTTAGAGTAGGGCTGGGATATGGAACAATATAATTTTTTCCCCACATCATTGAATAATTATTTGTACTAAAGCAAGTAAGTTTAAAATAAAATAATTTTGAGTATGTGGCACTCTTACCAAGCCTTTACATTTAATTTGCAAAACCTGGATTGTCTTTTTTTTATCTCCGCCTTGCTGAGAGATTTTCCTCATACTCATAGCTTGTCTGATAGCTCTCCTAACTGTACCACTGTTTTGTGCTGTTGTGAGCGAATGGCTAGTAGTGATGTGAATCTTTGAGATGACAGTGAGTCATTTCTACTCACGGCTGATTGGTTTGCAATTAGATTCAAAAGCGATTTCTGTAAATTAAAAACAATTCGACTGAATACACTAAACAACAATTCAATTCAGTGATATGATTCAGCAAATTTAGATATTTAAGTTTTTTGAGAAACATTGTAAATAAAACAGATTGAGTGACTGGCATGTGAGCGAAGTGTGTGCTTGACACAGCCTGATAAAATGAACTCAAAGCAAAAAAAGATAGCTGTTGCATGAGTTATTTATTTCAGTTATATTATTGCCAGGGTAATGTTTTAAAAATCTCTCTCTCTGTGTTTCTTCTGTCCGTGGTTAGCTTGTTGAGATTGCTGCCCGAGTCACTTACATGCCCTAAGACAATGAAGTTGAACGAAAAATTATTTTTATTTATAAATGTTTACTCTATTAATAAATTGTGATTTATTACATTTTTAGCATTTAAAATTTTTGACCAATGTAAACGATTTGCTATTTTTTTTTCCTTTTACAATCAGAGCTGTTGCATCAGGAGGAATAAATAAATATAAAATGATTCATTAAGAAAACAAACAAAATGTTACATTGCTAATGGCTAGCCTACTTTTCCCTCCCTGTCTAGCAGAGTGAAAGACACGCATCTCTGTCTAGTGTACCTAAGTAGTAACTGTTTAAGCTTTTGCTGCTAATGCCAGATTGAGAAACAGAATGACAATTATCTAATTAAATATACCTCAAACACGTATCAATATCAAAAAAACCAGTTTGATTTTATTGGTACCATTTTATTTCTCAAGCTTAACTGATGGTGGTGACTTGATGGTTGAACATATGATTCATTTCAGATTAGAAAGGTTGTTAGGTGATGTGTGAAGGCCCAACCTTGAAGGAGGCAGACAGGAAGGTGTAGAGCTGGCTGAAGGTGGGTTTATACAGGAGGTACTTGTGAGGGTTCTCCCTTTTGGCTGGCTTTTCACTGGGCTCCTGCAAAAAGAGAGAAAGACAAAGGCCTAAGAGAGCGAAAAAGGGCAAAACTTATGCCTAGAAAAAGGAGGAAAAATAAACACTCAACAGTGAGAGAGACAGGGAGGGTGTAAGAGTCTTCTCTTACAAGTGTCCCTGGTTTGGTAGTGGTTTGTGTGGCCAGGTTCAAAGGTTCTCTCTCGAGGGCCTGGAGCATGCGGAACATATCGATGGTCAACTCACTGAACTTTACCTGAATAAAGAGACACAAAAAGAGGGTTAAATTTCATGGTTACTGAAAATGATTATATATTATACGAATACTATATGATATATTAATATGACATATTAACATGGATATATAAAGCAGACACTATAAAACTATTGTATATATATACACACACACGTGTAAGAAAACTACACATATATTTTATGGATGCTATAAAACAATGTTATATTATACAGATGTCTCTGATGTTAAAGCAAGGCGCAACCATATTGCTATCCGATTTATATTATTCTCGTCTTTTATTATGGTTATAACTATATTGTTATCCGACTTATATTATTATGGTTGCGCTATATTGTTATTCGATTTAAATTATTGTTATCCGATTTATGGTCACGCCTTGCTTTAGCAAGCTTATATTATTCTTCTTCTTCTCTTTATTATTCTTATTTTTCTGCCGGATTTTCGCCTCATAACACGTCCCGCAGCTTTCGAGAAATCAACTCCGTTCCAACTCCAGATTGTCCGGCCTGATTGTGTGATGCGTGCTTGTATACAGCTTTTTGATTGGATGCACGGATTTCGTGTGGCAAGGGAATTTTGCGGAATTTTTTCCCATAGAGAATGAATGGGGTGAACATTTGCATGCCAATCTAAGGCACTTCTGCTTGCCCGAACGACACCGTTTTTCATACACTATCTCAGGGCAGGCCCACAACCATGAATCCACTGTCGTTTTGACCCGCACTCATCCGTTTGTCGTTTTATTCCATCTTTCGTCTCTCTCATAGACTTACATTGAGCGGACTGTTGGCAGCATGCCAGACATGATGTCACAATGGGCCGTTAACTCACACACCCATCCAAACTCAGGCATGGAGCCCAATGTCTCACCTGCTCCCAGCCTAATGCTCAGCAGTGTCAGCACACATAATGATTTTTTTAAGGTGGAACTGCTTTTAAGGTGGAATTGCACAAGAACTAATCCATAGCCATACTGACCCACACTCCTCCATTTGTCGTTTTATCATCCCTCGTTCCTCCCATAGAGTGTCATTCATTTTTGCCACCACTCAAACTCTGTTACTTCTTTGCCCGACAGCCACCGAAATGCATGTACTCACTCAGGGCACATCCCCAAGCTCTAATCCACAGCCAAACTGACCTGGACTCCTCTACTTGTTGTTTTTTAATCCCTCGTTCCTCCCATATAGTCCCATTCATTTTCGCCACCACTCAAACTCTATTACTTCTTTGCCTGAGAGTCACCAAAATGCATGTACTCATTCAGGGCAGGTCCTCAAGCTCCAATCCACAGCCATACTGACCCACACTCCTCTATGAGTACTTTTTCCATCCCTCATTCCTCCTATAGAATTCCATAGTAAACGCGGCGCAACCATTCCGCGTTTCCTTTAGGAAATGCACTTTTCTAGTTATTATTATAGCCGCGTTTCTTTGCCGCGTAACTTGTCCCGCAGCTTTCGAGATATCGACATCGTTCCAACTCCAGATGGCTTGATTATTTGATGCGTGCTTGTATACAGCTTTTTGATCGGATGCACGGATTCCGTGTAGCAAGGGAATTTTGCAGAATTTTTTCCCATAGAGAACGAATGGGGTGAACATTTGCATGCCAATCTAAGGTACTTCTGCTTGCCCAAACGACACCGTTTTTCTAGCCATACTGACCCGCACAAACGACACCGTTTTTCTAGCCATACTGACCCGCACTCCTCTATTTGTCATTTTTTCGTCCCTCATTACTCCCCTAGAGCCTCGTTCATTTTTGCCACCACTCAAACTGTATTACTTCTTCACCCGACAGCCACCAAAATGCATGTACTCACTCAGGGCACATCCCCAAGCTGTAGTCCATAGCCATACTGACACGTACTCCTCTGTTTCTGATTCATCCCTCGTTCCGCCCTTAGAGCCGAAACCAAAGCCCTGTTTTTTCTATTGTGCAACAGACACAGAAATGCATGGGCACGTTGCCAAGCTCTAATCCACAGCCACACAGACCCGCACTCCTCTATATGTCATTTTTTCATCCTTCATTCCTCCCATAGCGTCCCATACATTTTCTTTTGCAACAAAGCCCTAATCTGTCTTTTTCTCAACAGCCACCAAAGTACATGTACTCATTCAGATCAGGTCTCCAAGCTCTAATCCACTGCCTTACTGACCCACACTCCTCTATGTGTAGTTTTTTCATCCCTCATTCCTCCTATAGACTTCCATAGTAACCGCTGCGCAACCATTCCACGTTTTCTTTAGGAAATGCACTTTTTTAGTTTTTTATTATTAGTAATTATTATTATTATTATTTAATTGATTTGTGGAAAATTATTAGGAACTGACTAAATTGGCCTTAATTTTAGTGTAAAATCTGAAATTAAGTGCATTTCAGAGTAAAACAATTTTTGAAGAATGCAGTAGTAAGGAGAAGGAAAGCTTCTTACATCTTGCCTTGGCAGTAGGGCAAGATGCCCCTTTAAAGCATTTTTATTTTTATACTATAAAAACAACACTGGGTGCTGCTCAACTCTATTTCCACTAACTTGGTTATCACACTGTGCATTCTAAACTTATGAATACATACAAATACAGTTCAGTTTTATAGTAAGTGGACATTCATTCATGTCATTTTTACAATAATAATATTTGTGAATGTATGGCTTTCCACAGATTACTTCGCTAATTTGAGTGCCCAGAATGTTCTGATCTATGTGAAATACCTGATTGTTGCAATTGCCCACTATTAGAGCATCAGCCAAGGTGAGCTGACCAACCACCATGCCCGGTTCTAATTGGGGCACACCCCCCTCCTGCAGCCGATTGGATTTAACCATTACTGTGTTGTCATCATTCAGGATCAAAACTGGATCTGCCTAAGAAACCAAACAAACTCTCATTATTATGGGACAAAAAACCCTAATTAACATGTGATACGTTGATAAGTGCCCTTAATCTGTTCAAAACCGGGAAATTTTTAAGATAAAACTTACATCTCATCATCCATAAAACTCACCTCAACAAAAGCAGCAACTTCTTGCAGCACCAGATTCCACTCTAATTGATCTTCCGTGTTGAAGCGCTGGGTATAGTCCTCAATCTCTTCAGACAGCTCCTGCACAAAAGAACAACCGCAAAAAAGACCCCACAGTGTTTTATGACCATTCATATAATATATTGTAGAGCAGAAGTGTATCTCTCAGCCTCACTGATTTCACAGAATGCACAATTTTTGATCGTTTTTATGTTTTCGTTCATCAATGCTCTCTACCAATACTCAATACAACAGCATGCAATAAGCAAATATGTCATACAACCATTGGGCACGCAGTGTTTAACCATTTCTAATTGTTCGTACAGACTCCATAAGTAAAAAAGACTACCACTCTTTCTGAACAAGACTGTCTGCTAAATAGGTAAAGGTTTGTTTTTCACCATTTTCCTAGCAAAACTGTGGAAAGAGGCTATTGGAAAAGACTGAAAAATAATGTATATTTCGGAACATGCAGCACTTAATATTATTGTTGTTGTTCTTGGTATTAATATTTTTATTATTATCTTAATCTTTGTAAATACACCTGCTGAGGTTTCAAGAACACTGTTAATGATGTTTTCAGAAGCATCAGCAGATGTGCTTACAGAGGTATTACTAGTACTAATAGAAAAAAGATTTGAGATAATGACAATAGCTGTGGGAGAAAACATAGGATGAGAGGCTTAAATAACAATAAAATTACAGATCAGGAAAAATCATGGTTGTAGTACATTGTCATCTTTAATTTTGCCACAAACCTGTAATTAATCTAAACATAAAGAATAGAATTGTTAACATCACATAAACTGTACTGTCCATTGTTGTGGTTTCTGTAGCCACATAGCTTAGCTTCATTGTACAAGCTGAAACATAGTGTTTTTCTTGAGACTGGATATCTGAAACCTAACACAATGATCTGAGAATATCCTAAAATGTAGACCATACTACAGGCTCACTTTTTGTAAGGCATCATATCTGCCAGCAGCAGTGCGGGAATAGTTTGAAAAGTTTGCATAAAATAAATCAAAACATGAACAAACAAAGTTTATACTGTCACTGAGTGTTGTTACCACAGGTTACTTGGGTAACAGTCACCAGGCACAGGCTTTCTTGTTCAGCACTTTAGCCAACATTTGTTGTTTTAAACATAAACTTAACTTAGACTTGCACACAGTCTAAAAAATTACCTTGACCAGAACTTTAACCAGGTCCATCTTGTTGAGCAGCAAACAAACGACAATAAAGCGAGCATAGTACCTCAGCTTCTTCACTACCAGCTCAGGCCTGAAGGATAGTACAGTGAAACAGAGAGAAAGATGAGTGAAAAGAGAAGAATGTGAAAAAGAGGGACCACAAACAAGGAATGCAAGGAAAAAGGAATAAGGTCACAAGAAAGTGGCTTTATCAAATAATATGAGCTGCAATAAGACATTTCTTTTCTACATCCCACCTGTCTTCCTTGTTGACCTGGTAGTAATACGAACGCTGACGAATGGCCGAGTAGAAGGAAAATGCTTCATTTAAGTAGCTGGTTTCCGAGGTACGGAGGCTAGGGAAAGGGAATATCATAGAGATAAATGCATTAGTACATGCTAAGCCCAAAGACACAAGCCAGGGGCATTTTGGTAAAAGCAAGCTTACTAGTAATGGTAGTAGAGCTGGCCGATTTTGGATGCCACCTCTCCAATCTGCCACCTCTTGAGACCGTATCGGGTGTCCAGCACCTGTCTGTTCTCCCAATTAGCGCACACACACATACATAGATCAGCCTCTGAGGACACATCTATTAAAAGTACTGCTCTGAAGTGCAGAATTATGCCTCACAGCTGGGACTTAAGGTTCGAATCCCAGTCGTCAGTGAGCTGTCCATGCCAAGCAGGGACACTGATTCAAAATGAAAACCTTTCATGCAGGCCTGCAAACTGTCTATAAAGCACATTACAACTTTTCTTTTTGTTTTGTTATTTTCTATTATTTCATGATTGCTGGGAGCATGTCTTAAGAAAACCTTGTAGTCCTTAAATGAAAATAAAACTTCTTAATATTAATATAACAAGATTTTATTCCAAGTAACTTTGGAGCATTTCTATCGGTCCATTTGACATGAAACATTCATATAATGGAAAAGCAGCTGGTGTTCTTAAATGGGTTTTAAATTACAAATAAAAAAAGAGAAGTTAAAAGGTTTTCTTATGGCAGCAACAATTTGTTTCTGTTTTATATTTATGTGTACTCTCAATGCTGACCTGTGCTGTTGCTGAAACTTCCACAACTTTGTGTAGACATCAAAGGTACGGCCAAAATAAGACTGCCACTGCTTGTGTCCATACTGAGGGAGATCTCTATAATGAGAAAAACAGCAAGATAAAATATGCCTGGATAAGAGTAATTATTCGTTTACCATCAAAATCCTTATAATCAATAATCAGTTATTATTATAATTAGCTGACAAAATATTTTTTCTCTAAAATGTCACCAATGCTAGCTGAACTGAACTGAGAAAGAGAGCAGTTTATTTTTTGTATTTTCTCTCTTTGACAACATTATTTGCTAGTGCTGTTTTTTTTGCTTTCATGTCTCATTTTCTCAGCTTGTTATACATAGTGCCTCCTCCCCTTCACCTTGTTAAAAATACTCAGTGGCATGGAGAGGGCTATAGCAAATAAAACAGGATTACATAAATATACTGTGTCATTTTTATCATTCGCATTATCATGATAGTAAAGAGAAGGACAGATGAGGGAAAGGGAGGGGAAGAGGGATAGAGAGAGAAAAGGTTTTTTTTTGCAGGGCTGTGGTGACTCATGACTGTGGTGATGATGGAATTTCATGAGTTATGCCCATCAGCTGAAGCATGAACTCAATCTCTATCACTGTGTTTTTCTCTCTTTGTCTCTCTGTACCTCCCTAACCAAAAGAGCTTTAGGCTGCATTGTTATCATCAGAGAGTTTCTACGACAACACACGAGTGGTGGATGTGGGATGTACTTGTCCTCATTGGTATACACTAGGGCCTGACTGATATAAAGAATTTTGTAACTCATATCGTTACAAATAATAAGGGGCTACAAATTCAGATAAACGATAATGTATCAGCAGATATAAATTGGATATAAAGTCTACATAGTTTTACAACTGTAAAAATGGGGGGCTTTTGTGAAAGAAAACAAGATAAATCATGTCAGAACTTTTTCCCACTTTAAAGTAAAATAGTAATCTATAAACTAGAAAGGGAAAGTTTGTGAACGAACTTTAAGTTGGTTTGAAAAAGCCAGCTAATGACTTTAAAATAATTAAATTGGTGGAAGACGGTTGATGGTTGCTAAAGTGTTGCTTAGATACTGCTATGCGGTTGATATGGTATCCAAGGTGGTTTGTCAGGTGTCGCTAGGTGGTTCCTATGCTATTATTTACACTGGAATATTAAATCCACTGCTTCCTTAAAGCCACTGCCACCTTAAATTCATTGCTACCTTAAATTGACTGCCATCTTAAATCCACTGCCACTGTACCTTAAATAAACTGCCACCTTAAAATCAGTCCTACCTTAATTGTGTTGCAATCTTAAATTCAGTGCTACCCTTAAATGCACTGCCACCTTAAATTTAATGCTACCTTAAATGCACTGCCACCTTAATTTTGGTGCTACCTTAAATTTACTGCACCTTAAATCAACAGTTACCTTAAATTCAGTGATACCTTAAATTCAGTGCAAGTACATTATTTGTGCTCACATCGCTGCACATTAGGCTGTAAGCATGTGAGTCTGTGTTTAGTGTGTCTGAGTGTCTGTGTGAGAAAAGTGCATTGTGACATCACTTGTGGCAGTTAGACTTGAATGTCCCGAACATTCTGCTATTCATTTCCTATGGGAAAAATATTGTCTTTAAATGAGAAATATTTTATTTTTTTTAGCGCAGAATAGTACTAAGAAGAAGATTATGAAGAACTGAAGATTATGAAGAACTGAAGAACTGAAAAACGATCAGAAACATTTTAGGGTTAAAAAAAAAACAATAACCTGTTTGGATAAGTATGCACACCCTTTTCGAACTCTTTCAGACTCTTGTTAAATAGCAGCTAGTACACACCCGCCATCAATTAAACTCTGATCAAACCCAAATGGAAATCAGCTGATCCTGTAGGATTTTCCTGACACTTTTATGGTTGCATCCAACTGCAAAAGCCTGCAGAAATCTCATTGCTGAAAGGTATCAATCAGGAGAGGGTACAAAAGAATTTACAGGGCACTGGAAAATAGCAAAAGAGAAAATATGGCACACCAGTGACATTACCAAGGACCTCCTTCCAAAATTCTTGAGAAGACCAGGAGAAAAACTGGTCAGCAAGGCTGCCAAGAGGAATACTGCAGCATTAAAGGGGCTGCATGATATGAAGCACAAAAAACAAAAAAACATCCAAGCCCAGGTATTTTGAACAAAAATATATTTAGTCTCCCAAAACCACATGTAAAAAAGTGTTGCAATCTGGTGAGACCAAGGCTGAATTTTTGGCTATAATTTTAAAGGTGTTTGGTGGAAAAACAACATAGCACATCACCAAAAGAAGTGAAGCATGGTGGTGGCAGCATTATTATATTATGATTCTCTGTGGTTTTATTTTTTGTTACTTATGTCTTATTTTTCATCAGTTCTTTTAAAATAAAATGGTATTTTGTGTTGAAATATGTTATTCTGTAATTAAAGTTATAATTAAATTTTGGATGCATTTACATGTTTATTATTTTGAACATGATTATGTTTTGTGTTCAAATTTATCAGTTCAGCCCATATAGCTGTCATAAAGTTAAACAGGGATGACAATTGGATTCTCAGTGACACAACTATTTTGCCATGGTTTTGCCCCCTCAATGGGTGATCAAGTCCAATTTCTGGTGCTGCCACAACAAAAAAAAGTTGCTAATTACCGGTGATAGCTTTGTTGATACTGACAACGCTGTGGGATACATCCACATACATACACCTGAGAGTGAATCATACAGAACACACATGGCATTCATGTAATCTCTCACAGACACACATCCACAAGGTAACCATTTAAAACTCAAACAAAACACACATTCCCATATTGCAGAGATGGTGGTGAGATTTACGTGTCATCCCAGTGCCCTTGTGAACCACATGAGACAACGCTGGGAAAGAGACAGGTGTCATCAGGGATTGATTTCACTCCATGCCCCATTCAACTCCCACCCTTGCTGACAGAATTAATATTCAAGATATATCCACTTGCCCAGCTAAGGATGGACTAGTGAAATAAAGCAGAAAAGGAGGACAGAGGAGTTGGCCAGGATGTGTTTCATCACATGCTGACACTTTTGAGTCACATGCAATTGAGTGAAGGAAAAGAGTTTTGAATGACTTTCACAAAACTTGCTTCACAAAGTCGCAAAATTTGCAACTTTCAGACTAAAGTTTTTGAGGCTGCCAGTTTATAATGTTCATAAGACTAATTGTTAATGATGCATCAACACTATTTTTTTCAGACTGAGTATGAGTACTTCTATATATATTTTGGTACTCACAGATGCAGAGTGCAATACCATATTGAGTAACCTACTTAGAATTAAAATGAAGTGCATTAGCTAGCTAAGCTATGTTATTTAACACTACCTTTGAATGAATAGTGCTGCAGTGGAGAAAAGTGAGCTTCATTCCACGTCTGAAAAGCGCTTCTGAGCAGCTATGGTTTTGCTCCTCATCTGTATCTTTCAACATCACTTTCTGTAGCTCAGTGACAAAAGGAATCACATCTGAGGCTAATGCATCTGAGAAGCTCACGTGTGGAGTTTTACGTCCTCTTGGAGTCTATGTAATTTTCGAAAGCATGTTCTTTGGTGAGTCTGCACATTTGAACAGACCATCATGTATGGACAAAGCCTACGATTTAAATACACTGTATGAAAATGCTGCGTCCAGGATACGTGAAACGCAGCCCCTACAGACAGCTCTGTCCATGAACAATTTCAAATAAACTGTTTCATTCAAAATAATACACTGCACACCAAGTACTAGGCAAAGAGAAGTGTTAACAGTACTGCTAACACTGTGCACTGAAGCTCAACAGACTGTAAGCTGCTCTGGATAAGAGTATCTGTCAAATACCATATATGTATTGCTTGAATCCATTTTTAGATAATTTGATGGGTTCAAGCATTATTTCTTGAAGCACTAAAACTGTTGTCCACAGAGAACTTTGTAGGCAGATCCCCGTTGGGTATGGACAACGTAAAAAATATGTCTTTACCTGACTGGCTGCCACTTCTAATTTGCATAAGCAGAAAGTATGCGTTTTTATGCATTTGTTTACAACTCCCTGTTGAAAATGAATGGGAGAAATTAAACAACCTGTTTTTGTTATTGTGCCTTTAAGACTGATATTTGTAAATGGCCTCTGCTCTGATTGGGTGATCTCTACGGTCTCTCATTCTAAAAGCGGTCCAGTCTGAAACAAGCCTAAAATTTCAATATGAATGAGCAGGGCTAAACTGCTGTAGGCTGAATATGTGGCTATATGTAAATGCACTGTCACAAAAACAAATTCAGAACAGGCAGCTTAGTTTCATATGAACTTTATGAACTGGGGAATGTATGGTATATTTTGGAAGAACTAGCTTAACAAAAACTAAAATTGATAAAATTTTATACTTCTTCATTACATGAGGCTCTTAGACAAATGTTTCAAACAAGTAATAGAAAGTTATGTACCATTAATAATCATTCAAACTGTATGCATAAACCATCACAGATCTGCCTCAAACTATCCTAATACATTTCAAAGAGCTTTGTTTTTGTTATGTATGACACTATGTGGTTTATGTAATACATGCTAAGACATACTGTTATCTACTGAAAATTAATGCTTAAAGAACAAAGCTTGAAATGGCATTTTAACTTAAACTACAGTTTCACATTACATAGGCCCTTGTGTCTTTGAACTGAAAAAAGAGAGAAAACTCAAACTAGGTAGTATGTGAGGAAATGAGTCCAAATAATAATAGCAGTATCATTCCTCATCTCTTCAGGGTGTTGATTAGAGTTCAATGCAGAACTAGGGCAAAAGCTTTAGCTACAGTCTAATTAGCACACAGAAATAGGACAGGGGAAAGAACTCTTATCAACACAGCATTCTTAACAATCGCAGACACTGACTTTTACATTAGATTAAAAAAATTATATATTTTGTTAACGTTGAAGTGAAAAGAAGTAAACAGAACCTCGGCAGCACGTTAAAATGAAAAAAATCTGCACAGATCCGTTGCGGAAGGTTTCTAGTTTGGCAATATTCTTAGGCCATTTTGAATGCACAACATTAACATCTA